TGGGAGAATCAAGATCCCTCCAAGGGCGCGCCTTCAGATGTGCGTTTCCCGCACGCGAAGAAAGCAAAACCGTAGAAGTGCACCTGCGAGGTGCTTCAATGGAGGCCTTTCGTAGGAGGCTAATATTTAAATGCGCGGCGAGACGAAGAAAGACGCGGCGCAACCGATCGGACCCCCGATTTGACCCCGGCATTCAAATGGGCCGATAGCCGAGCGATACGAACGATCGGGTAACCCAACGAACTCGGTTGGTTTGGACCGCCGTGGATTCTGAATACCACACGCCGCTTCCTGTTTCCAAGGTCAATTCCTGCGTCGTTCCTGCGCCGCTTACGAAGCTGCCGTAAATCGATATCATAACCGTTTTTCTTTCTCGTCTTTCGTTCGTGAAATTTCTAACCGCAATCTGCGACTCTCGCAATTTTAACTTTTTTCTATCTTTGGAATTAACCGAAGAATTAACTGTCGATGATGCGACATTTCTAGACAACATGAGTTTCCTTGGGACATTCGTGAAAATATATCGATGATTAATATTTACCGATCCGTTATAAGTTCTTCGAAATGTCCAGCGGCAAACGAGATTCTTATAAAATTCTGGAATAAATTTCTATAATAAAATTCCCATCTGCAAACATCTCTCTCTGCTCCCAGCTGAACCGCAGCGATGTCAAAAGACAGAGGCGGCTCGGTGAGGTAGCTGCTGATCCCCACTTATACTCTCATTAGCTGCGAGGTCAGCAGCAACGAGCGGCACCACCATCGGCAGCAACGGCATGCTAAACAAGCAGCGAAAGAACGTGGCAGCGATCCGGCGCAACGGCAAAGGTAGCTCCCGCGACTGATTACGTATTAATACGTTTCTCTGAATCCGGCGCTGTCAGACGGACACGGAGCGGATGGACACGAACGGTCGGGGAAGAGAGAACGAGGGGGGAGAGAGAGGGTAGCGAAGGGAGGAGGAGGGGGGGGGCGTCCTACTGCCCAGGGCGTCCCGCGGGACACCGGGCGTCCGGGTGCTCTGATGAGAAAAATTACCAGAAATAAAAGGAGGACCGGCAGCGCGATTATACAAAACGGATATTACAACGGACCCCGGCACTGGCTCTTATTAAACCCTCCACCTCTGCCGGGGCGAGAGGCAGCCTTCAGCTTCGCGAATTCAATGGTACGCGCGCTCGCGCGCGCCGCAACGCGGGGCTACAGGAAATCTTCCTGAAATATTAACTCATCCCCTCCCCCCCCTCTGGATCCTCCTCTCTCGCTGCCTGTTGGATCCACACGGCCACTGATTTCGCGGGATCTGCGACGTCAACCCTTTCTCTACTACTTTTCTTCAAGCGGAAGGTGTCGGTGCAAGTTTCGCCACGTTTGCGAGCTTTGTGCTGTTCAAAGACGGGAAGGATCCAACATTAAGGTCTGCCGTGGACCATCTTCAGTTTCGTGTGAGATTTTAATTATCCCGAAAAAATTTTGTTATTTTAAGTTTCAAGTATATTAAGGTGCAAAAAAGAGTGTCTTGTGTTTGTAAAAAAAAAACTCATGATTTTATAGTTAATTGGTAAGTTATAAACGTTCGTCTGGTTTCAACTAATCAGACGATGGAAAATTCGAGAGATAAATGTCGGATAAAAACATCACCGCATTAACAATTTCTTCCTGAACTTATTCGGCAATGTATATTTTTGAGCGGCGGTACTTTGGAAATAATTAATTGTACTAACTCATTTGCTTTTTAAATACGTCTGTTGACAATGTAATCTTTTCTAAAACGATATTTCCTAAATTGGAAAGTTCAGCGCCGAGTTAATAGGACCTACCGCCGTCGAAATTACATCCTAATCTTTTTGTACGTTCGAAAATTAAAGTAGCTTTTTATAAAAATTTCTCCGCAGAACCTTGTTTTTTTTAAATACGTAGTATTATTCATATTTCTTTTAAAATACAAACAGAATCAAAAATATAATATAAATTTAGCAATAATATGCATACATAGAACCACTAATTCCAAGAAAAATGGTATAATTTTAAATGTATGTAATATAGAGTATTTCTCTATATCTTTATCAATAAATTTTATGCAATCACTTTTATAAAACTTGTTTAAGCATTTGCTGTACATTATTATGATCACAACAATTTCAAATAATTTTAAAATTATATTTGTCACAGATGAAATAACATGACAATAACGATTTATGATTTTAAACAGTCCACTAGATAAACTAGCAATGATTAGAACGTCATGTATTAGCAATTAATGACTGAATTTATCATTGGAATTATATGCTGACTACGACCGAAACGAGCAATCGGTAACATCATGATAACGCGTCTTTGATTTAACCAAAGAGTCTTGGTGAAACTCACGTCTCCGTAGTTCGTATTGAAGTGCATACCCAAGTGGATTTGCATACGAGTTCGCATCGCGGTGTTACCTGCTGTAGGAGGCCGGGCACATGTCACATTCCCATTGTCGGCGTTGTCATAGGGAGAGAGAAAGTGTATATAAGAAAGAGAGGAGGGAGAGAGAGAAAGAGAGAAACGGGTGTGGGTGGCGGGGAACGGAGGTAAGTACTCGTACTAAGTGCTGTTTTATTTGTGTAAGAACAACCACTTTGCTACCGCCATCCGCCCTCCTGCCCGGCCTACAAAGACAGACTGTTCGCGCGCACACAAACATCCGTATTCGCAGTCGCGATTTGCTCGCGGAAACGCGATTCCGCAAGGCTTACACGGGCGAGGATGAGACGGGATCAGTGAGTGTGACTAAAGGAAGCCACTTCCGGTCGCGTAATTCCGTTAAGATGTCGGAGAATTCGCTATAACGTTCATCCCTTCGTCGCCCCTTCATTTTCCGAAAGCACGCAGATGTCGCAGTTAATCCGGAAGCGAAGCATCTTTGATTCGTGGATTTGTGATATATCGCAAACATCCTGTCAGCACATGTTTAACTTGCAAATCTTAAGATCTTAAGCATTTTATAATAATAATTTAAAATGCCGATGCCGTAGATTCAAAATAATCTATTTATCTGTAACAATGAAATTAAACGTAAAATACAGCCGTTCAGATAAATTGTGACGTAGGAGTAACTACGATATTTTGTTGAGAGATATTTCGTCGAGAGTTGATCGCACCAGCTCCGAATCCCGCTTACAAAGCGGGCTAAAGCAATGGACGCAACAGGGAACTTTGCTGTGATCTTATCATCAAGAATCAGGGCGAAGTTATCGCCGGTTAACAAACATCTTCGTTATTGCTTCAAACGGTAAAGAGAAGTGCCTGTGCTGGCATTAACCAGACACTCTCTCACGGATCTGCGGAATACTGGTCCTCCGCTTTGATCTTGGTCAACAGCGAAACTTTAGACCCGCCGGTCGTACGCGCGTGCTAGTCGATCGGAAGCGATTCGTTTGATTATCGCGGATCAAATTCGATGGGACGCGAGCTATCCGATTGCTCGTTCAATCGTCGTTCGCGTCGGCGCGATTCGTCCAAGCCGATCTACAGCCATTTCGTCGAACTTGTCGCGGATCGAGACAATAGATGTTCCAAGCGCGGCACAAGTCGGTTCGCAGGCAAAAGGAGGACCAACTAGGCGCTCTGTGTGATACCTCGGCTGATGTCCAAAGGTGCTTCCCTCACACTCGACACTGGATGCGCCTTAGTCTTAGCAAATTGTACAATAACAATCCTAGTAGTAGCTGCCGGTGCTCCTTCCCGTCGTCCTACGTACATCCTCGCTCTACGCCGAGTGTCTTCAAACCAACCCCTTTCCACCCTCGGTTCCCGCCTCACCCCCTCCCGTCCCCGCCTTCGCCCCTTTTCCCTCGCGCGCCAGTGTTGTGTACATTAGCGGATGCTCTGAAGGCAAGACAAACGGAATATTACACAAATACCCGCCCCCTTCAACCCTCGTCTTCCGTAACTACCAAACCACCCCCTCCCCCGCCTTCCTGCCCCCTCCTCTGTATCCCTCTCTCTTTCTCTCTCTCTCTTCCTCGCTCTCTAACTCTCGCGATCTTCCGACAGAAGACATCCCGCTTTGCGAACGTTTCATCTCTCGTGGAATGGTAGATACAGATAGACAGATAGATAGCGGGAAGAGGGCAAAGGGGAAAAGTCAAGCATGTAGAAGTGGACACCACTTTAGAGGTATTTCGCAAGAGTTTCGTCAATTTAGGGTGCAACTAAGATATTCGTTTCCGATTGCTTAACCTAATTTAGGAACAGGATTACGGGATCGTCAAAGTGCCGTATATTATGCGAAGTCCACGTTTGCGGAACGCTTGTCTCAATCATAATAATTTACTATTATTAAAATAGCAATTTACGAATTGTTTTGTCACTTTACGCTCTTTTATATCATACGTTTCTGTTGAAAAATTTATGTGAAAGAAAAAGCTCGCTTGTTTCACTTTCAAAAACGTTTAATAAAACACGAATATAGCAAATAAAGCGTTTAAGAGATTCTGACATGCGTGTGAATAACGATTAAATAAGACACACGTACGGATTACGTAATATCTGATGAAAATTCTGCAGGAGAACAGTTTAAAAAAGGCTATTCCTGAAAACACCGTTAAATCCAAAAATAGTCGAAGATGAGCAAGAATTTCTCATTATTATGATTATTATTCGACGACGACGCGGGACGACGAAAGAGCGCCGTGGGCCGATTCCTTGACCACCCGAGTACGAAGGAGCGGGGCGCTTCGTAAATGCATAAAACGCGATATGAAATGCACGAGTTCGGACGTTTTGGCATCCGGACAAGCAGACAATCAACTCATCGAGGCGTGTGGATGCATTTTTATTATATATTATAGACTGCCCGATGCCTTCCTCCATATCGTACGTCACTCATAATGTCAGTCGCTAACGTACCGTCTCGAACGTATTTTACGTACCGGGTGCTCCGAAAGCGATCTATTAGCTTAAATCCTGTAGAAGCTCTTATCCTTAAGACTCGTAAATAAATTGCTTAAAAAGCTGTATTCAATATTATTAATCGTAATTATTGATCGCTAAGCAACGTTTAAATACATCGATGTATTTGTAAATTTATTTTACTTTCAGTAAAAGATATATGAATACGCGTCTTTTTGAGATAAATTTTAAAAAGATCAAGTGACGCCGCAATGTTAAGAAAATGATGTAGTACGTTCTTTAATCAATTTGATGCGCACATGCCAGATTATTTCAGTGTACACGTAATTTAACGGCTCGAAGAGAGCTATCGCACCTGCTCGTATAATTATCCCACTGAAACACTATACTCAAAAATTATGTAACACGATGATATCGAAAAGATGTTGACGTACAGTTTCACGACATTTAACAAACTTGAGGCAGAGAATTGTTTTTTTTGTGCACTCGGTCTCGCATTATTGCCACAAGAGAAGTACAATACTTGAGCGTTCACTCGAGCTGGCATTTCGTTAACGAAGAATTCTATTTCAGAGTTTGACACCCAGTATAGATTTCGGATATAGGTGCATATCGGGCCGTATCTCCTTGTATCAGCCATACACATAATTACCATCTGATAGAGTCTGTTGTCTGTCGGGAGGTTGATTTCATACTTGTTCTTATTGCCGACCCGTCAAAGGTATCCCCGTGGTGGTAGGACGGCCGATCTCGGATGGGGGCCTTAGGGCCGCATAGGCCCCTTCTCCCGTCTCGACCAATCACTGACCCTTGGTCTGCCTTACCGTCGAGAAAACGCACGAGAAAAAGGAACGTGATTAGACCTGCTGCAGAACCTGATGCATCGACCAGTTCGAGAGTGTCGACCGCTTCGATGGCCGCCAATCGAAGTCCAATCATTGGCTAAGATAGTCAGCCATTTCGTACAATTTCTGCATGCCTTTCGTCAAATAATAATAAATTAAAATGAGAAAAATAAAAAATTTTTTTAACTAATATTTCTCACTCGAAAAACTGTGCCGCCCGTTATAATGTATTGTTAAATTAACCTTATTAAAAATTCTAACGTAAATGTTGCATTGTATGTCTATGTATCACGAATGAGATAATTTGGAATAAACATTCAATGTTGCGCCAATAGCCAGAATTCTGCTCGTAAGTGACAGAAGAGCATTTGGCATCGCGATGTACGCGAACGTCGCGCGAAACATTGTGGAATTAATGTAGCGTGAACCTCGGCAACAAACACAGTATTGTCCTCGACTCTTGCAATTCCCACGGATGCGGATGACGCCTGAAAGACGCTCCTTCGGATCGGCCGATGCAATGCAATCAACGCAACACCTGTCGAAAATGCAGATTTACGGCGCAGCTGCTTCCGCCGGTGCGCGCAAGCAATAATTCCGGCGAGACGGAGGACCCGTCCACAATTTCTGTGGTTTCTTCCATTCCTCCGCGTCCGTCTTGCTCGCACCGAGGCCCAGGCCGGCCTGTACCGGCGTTCATCCTCTCGCTCGCGCTCTCGGGACGGTGCCTCGCATTGTTTCATTAGGCCACGTCAAAATATTAGGGCTGCAACTCGTTCCTGCCCTCTCCGATACACGTTACTGAAACCTCCCACAGCCCAAGGCCCTTAGACGTTAATGCCGCATGGACGGCGGGCTGACTTGCGTATAATTACCACATTCGGCCATTTATACCAGGTGGCTGCTAAATTTCAAAGAGCAGTGCGCGAGCCTCGCTTCCACGACGCGCCATCCATCCGTAATGGCCAGCGATCGTGCGGGATTGTCAGTGCTAATACGTCAATTATTACGTCGCGCTTTTTAATAACACGTTTCCAATAAGATATAATGCCTATTAAATTATGTAGACGCGTATATATGTGACTTACGTAAGCAAATCTCTCCTCATTATTTGACAAATGATTTATGACACATATTCGCGTCACACGTTCATTTCCTCGTTGCAATTTTTTCACATGTAAGCACCGTTCTCTCCCCTTTCTCTTCATTGTTAATCAAGACTTACACGATCACATCATTCGACCAGCAATAAAGTGTTGTGTACGAATATCAAACAAGCGTACGCGATAAACACCTACGTGTAAGAAGCGCGAGGGGAACAACCTGAGGTTCCGTTCGCGCACAAAGACTTGTCACATGCTCGAGTTTTTTTTTTCGTTACGATTTTGTTACGCCATTCATCGCGCCGTATGCGTTTCGGTAGGAGCCATTCTCCCACGCAGAACAGCCATCGAACCCGCTTCTTTCATCCTTCCTTCTTCGCTTCAGATAAGTATCTCGAGCGAGCGAGTTCACCGGCTACGCGTCCCCGCCGTAGAAGATATAGAAATTTATTTCAAATCCGCCATGCGGAAAACGTCTTTCTGTCGAATACTTCACGCTTCGGATTCACTTGACCGACTTTTCACACTGCCTTAACGCCGATTTGGTTGACGCGCAAACGACCGCGTGCTGCATGTGTCACATATGTGTCAGCATTACTGTCGAACGACAGGCTAACTATCATAACAAATTTTATTTATATATATACACATAGAAAGAACGATTTTGTTGAAAGGTCTAAAAATTTTGCTAAAAACAGATCTAAGAATAATTTTTTGTTGAATTATCAAAATAATTTGTTAAAATGTTAAAACAAATAAACATTATCAATATAGATATAACTATAGCTATAAAACGTTTTGATATTCTAGCAATCATTTTGATTTTTGCACAAAATTATTTTGATTATTGAACAAAAATTATTTTCAGATTTGGATTCAGCAAAATTGTTCTTTTCGTGTATGTATACACATATAATCCAGCAAATGTACTATTTGAAACATTAGTTATATTGAAATAGTACGGAAAAGAAATATATACAAGATCAAAAATCTTTAAAATAATGCGGAAAAATATTTAAAAAAAAACACGTGATATTAATGTGATATCAATGTGACAAGCAACTTTATAAAATACAGATTAAAAAAACAGAGGAGAAGAAAAGAGACCCCCCGCAATTTTATAATGAATCGATGAAATATGGAAATGTACAGTATAATCTCCGTTAAGACGTAACGAATGAATTACACGGGATGAATTAAAGAGAGCACCGCATTGACTTTGCTCAGGCACGCCCTTCCTCATTTCCTCTGTCGCATTGTAATTCACAACCGTAACGTTGGATGCAATTGAAGGACTGTATATGGGAAGGTGGGCCGGGATCGTAAGTGCAAACGAGTCAATCTCTCGAAATGGTCGATTTTAAATGAGTTTCTCTCTTTCTCTCTCTCTTTCTCTCTTTTCGAAACGAAAGCGTCACCTGTCACTTCATAAGCATCACGACGGGCCATTGTCACTCACGTCCGGTCGCATATGGGCGCCCTATTGTGCGAGACTTATATTTATTCATTAACAATTATCGGATACGAGCGGTAGCGGGCCGAGTTTTGTCCGGCTGATCGGAGATGTACGTTAAGGGGGCGATCGCTATTTCACGCTGCATAAAAATTGACGCGCATCTTCGGCCGATCTCGTTCTTTCTTTCAAAATGTAATTGGGAAGTATAACTTCCCACATCTTGTTCCTATACGGCAGCATTATCGTCCATCACAATCGCATCCTACACAAGTTCAGAGAAAATTTATTTATTAAACCGGTCTTATATTCGCCAGACTTTGATTTCGTTCTGAACATTTTTGATATAACGAAGACGAAATAAATTATTATATAATTACTTTCTATTTCCGTCTATTCCAAATTCTATGAAATTAATGTAATGTGCGTGTGAAAACTATACGATATCTCTGAAGTTTCAATTGCTTCATATTTTCTTCGCTTAACAAGCACCGGCGACAGAATCAAATCGGAAAAGTGTAAAAAACGGCGAGAACTCCTCACGTCAGTGCGATAAAGCTTTGTGGAGAGAAGCAACGAAGAGAAAAACCCGCTCACAAAGAAAGCAACCCTCCTAGATCTCCCCAGAGAGTATCAATCGAGAATCGAGAGTCTTTGGAAGATTATTTTTATAGACGACTCTTTCCTGATCTTTCTCTCTCTCTCCCTCTCTCTTTCTGTCCTTTCACGGGCGGCTTATCCGAAGAAATCGTATATTGGACATCCACTCCTTTCATCACGTAATCTCAGCGGAGAACACTTTAGTTTTCCTCTATATCCTATACGCTCGACAAGCTTAATCATCGCATTGATAAAGAAAAAAAAAACGGAATGCTTCACGCAACAAATATGAAACTCTTCAATCTAATTATGGCGACGATGGCAATGAAGAATCACGATTCCGTATCCGAAAGAATGATATCTCTCGATAAAAATATTTTCATAAATAAAGATCTGTCATCCGACTATAAAATATAAAAAAAAAGTGCGATCTCACGTGCATCTACTATTGTGAAAAAATTAATTTCACAGCGACATGAAGGATGAACGATCTGACATAATATCTTCCAAAGGGGCAACCCGATACGTTGATAAGCGTCGCACGCTAGAAAGCCCCACTCGGTGTGCATCCGGTTAATGATCGCGTACCTGCAACGTGCGCCTCACAGTAGCGCATTACTTGCCGATCGGCGCGGCGAGCGGGAAACTCCGCGTCGTCCTTCCATTATCTGGATTAATGGCTAAACACGCACAAGAGTTCCGCCGACGGAATCGTCCGGGGCTGCACCTCCGCCGACGGCTGCCGATCAATTAACTAATGATCGCTAATTAACGCTCCCCCGGGACAGTAATACCCGATAATACCCGGCGGGCCGACGTACGGTGGTATTACCTTACGTTAACCCGTCGGTTGAAGACCGGGAGAGAGAGGGAAAAGAGAGGGCCGAGAGGCAGGTCTTGGAGGCCTTAGTTTGAGTTTAACCGTGGCTCAGCGCCGTGCTGAGTAATCAAACAATTACCGGGGGGGAAGGGGAGGAAGGGGGAGGGGGCGCGGGTGCGACGTTACCAATGCCACCAAACCTCCAGAAACCACGGGATGGCGAAACGGACCGAGGGGTTGAAGCGGGAAGGAGGATGCGAATCCGAATTCGAAGCGACTTCAGCGAAATAACAGCCGCCAGTCGATATTATCGCGGGAGCCGGCAGTTCGGCAGCTCCCGAAACGCGAGCTAATTGACTGCTAAATTATCACGAGTCCGCTCCTTCTCTCGTCGTTCCTCTCTCGCTTTAATTCGAGATTAGAAGAGGGTGTCCTTCCCCCTTTTGTGCCTATACCGAATTAATCGATGCGACACAATAGGATTTTGTGTAATGTATAGAATTCTATTAATTTTAAGAATCACAGTCGTTTATTATGCCTAGTTTCTCAGAACGTACTGCATAAACGATAATCATAGCGAAAGAGGAATACAATATAATTAATATTCAGAGTAAAAAGTTGTTAATAACGTTATAGAAGAACAAATTCATAAGGATAAATTATAATAATTATAATATTAATTCATTATAAAAATTAATTATATATAAATTTTCTTGACTTTTTAAATACTTAATTAATACATATTTTTATTTGAAAGTTGTTCGTATTAATTTTTTCATAAATTAAACGCCTAATTTGTTTATGTACGTAAATATACTATTTGTAATTCATATACTATATATTTAACATTCGCAAAACAGTCATGAAAATTCAAGTAGCATATATATCATGATCGTAAACATGATGATAAACATGAATCGACATCTAACTCGCGCTTTTGATTGCGTTCAAACAAGACATGCAAGAATTGACTCACAATGCCTCGCAAAATGTATGTGCATTAAATTTTCTAATATACACGAATTCACAATCTTGCACAAACATTATGTTAACCAATGTTTCCGGCACCTTTTTGCAAATTTAACTTAGTCGTAGAGGAAACCGAGAATGAGCTTCGACGCGACTAATTAGCCGCAAATTTTCTACATTGCGATGCAAATTGCGTATGTCGTCGCGGTATTTCGCGAATATTGCCGTCGATCGACACACGACACTGGCAGACGCTGCACTCCCAGCAAAATGCGGAAGAAAGTGGCCCTGAATAAAAGAATTAATCAAGGAAATCGACAATGTACTTTTTTAAAGCAGCTGCGACGGCAAAGTGATTGTGGTCTTAAAACGGAGAAACCGAACGAAGATTGTAAAGCCATTATGTCGGCATAAGTGAC